AATATTATTCTAAATGATGTCTTCAAAAAAATGGAGCATATTTTATTGATGGTCCTAGAGGAACATGAAAAACATTTGTATGTTACTCTTTACTTACAGCCGTAAGAGCTAAAGGAATGGTAACTTTAACTACGACATCTTCTGGGGTGGCAGTGGGATTACTTCTTGGAGTTAGAACTGATCACTCAAGATTTAAGCTCCCATTTCAGGTTAGTACTAAATCAACTTCTTCAGTTAGTACACAATCATCTTTACCCGAATTATTCAGAATGACACAACTAATAACATGGGATGGAGTTCATATGCTAAATAAAGTAGTTATTGAATCGTTGAATTAAATGTTACAAGATATAACAAAAAATAAAATTTCATTTGGCAGGAAAGTGGTAGTCTTGGGAGGTGACTTTCGTCAAATATTTCATGTTGTTCCCAAATATCAAAAGATATTATTGATACGACATTCGTTAATTCAGTTAGTACACAATATGAGAGCTAATAAAATTAGTTGAAATTATGAGAGATAATTGAATTTGCCTTTTTTTTTTCTAAATATCTACTACGAATTGGAAATTGGACTAAGCTTTTACATTCATGCAATATGATTAAACTTCCAAATGAAATGATTATTGCTCATGATAATGAAACCACTTTCGTAAACAAAATTGATAGATGTTGTGTTTCTTGAACTAAAAAATTACCCAAATAATATTGAAACTATGATTAATAGAATCATATTAAGTCCAAAAAATGAGAATGTTGATTTTATAAATGCTATGTTAATAAAACATTTCCTTGGTGATTCTATTAAATAGTTGTGGATGAGCCAATAAATATTAATGCACAATCATTTGATGATGATTTTTCCAATACTTCAACTCCTAATGATATTTCACGACATGAATTAATTTTGAAAGACAATTGTTATATTATTTTATTGAGGAACATAAATCCATTTTAAAGTTTGTGCAATGAAACTAGGCTTATTTATAAAAGATTTGATCGGAATATAATTGATGCTGAAATTGCTGTTGGACAATATAAAAACAAAAGAGTTTTTCTCCCCGTCTACCATTTGTGCCTTTCGAAAATGATATGAGTCCAATTTGACTCAAAAGAACTCAGTTCCCAGTGCGTGTATGTTTTGCAATGAGTACAAATAAAGCTCAACGTTGTGGATTGTCTGTTTCTCTCTTTTACTTTATTTATATGTGATGTCCAAGTCAAGCTAATTGCATCTATACAGAAATATCATTCTGGTTCCAATTTTAAAAAATGGGGACATACGAAGTTGCGCACTATTCTTCAGGAGTGTACCTTTGAGAAAGCGTCTCACGTCTCCTTAAGTTTGTCAGTTAAATTTGGACTCTTCTTGAATGTTGTGGGCACGTCTGTTGTCTAATTAGGTATATGTATTAATCAAGTTTGGTTTCCTACGCGCTTCGCGTAGGGCTATCCTGCGCGCAGGAGATCAAAAAGCAAGACTTTTGCTTTGTTGGCTGACACAAAGCCAATTTTTTTTTTCTTTATTTTAAGGACTGTCAACACAAACAGTCCTTAAGTTTTATTTTTTTTATATTTTATTATTTTTCTATCAGCCTTTGACTGACACTTTGGTCAACTTTAATTTTTTGTTTGACGTTTTTTTTTCTTTTGTCATCAAATTGAAACTTTTTCATTTTTTCTACTGATTTGTCATGTCCATCAGATTTTGCATTTATTTTTTTTTGACCGAATTGCAATAAATTCGCTTCTCAAAACCATCGAGCAACCAATTCATTCTAGTCTCATCTTCTCAACCAGATTTTTTCTTCAGCAATTAGTTTATTTCAGTGAGATATTTACTTGCCTTGGATTTATCGTGGTGTATTATCTATTTTTAAAGTGAGTGCAATAATTGTTTTTTGTCATATTCATAATGAAATGTGATTTTGTACACATTTAATTTTTTGTGGATCATGTTGTAGGAATGGAAGGAGATAATAATGTATTCGTACCACAAGTTCACGTAGGTACGATTCCACAAATTGGGCAAGAGTTTGAAACATTAGACAATGTAAACAACTTTTACAATGAGTATGCAAAATTAGCTGGGTTCAGTGCACGCATCGGTAGTAGTCGAAAGAACACACAAACGAACGAAGTTGTCTGGAAATCATATGTTTGTTTCAAACAAGGCCAGAAAGATGAAACCTACCAAATGAAATTCAAAAATTTGGTGGCCCGTTCAAGAGAAAGAAATCGTGGAGACTCCCGTTGTGGCTGCACCGCCAAGTTAACAGTTGTAAAAAAGGACACAAAATTCTTGGGCTGTTAGCCATTTTTCTGAGGTGCATAATCACTCACTTTCCACACCGAGCAAGGTTCACTTGCTATGATCGCATCGCGAAGTTTCAGCTACAAAACAAGCGCTTGCAGAGCAATTTTCACTAGCAAATATTCCTACTTGCCAACAAATCAGACTTATGAAGATAGATGCTGGTGTTCTATCTTCGATTGGTTGCTCTGAGCAGGATATTAGGAACTACCACAGAGACCTTCGAAGGGAATACATTGGACATGATGCAGAAACATTGATTGAATACTTTGAGCTGGAGAAAAGAAAGAACCCCAACTTCTACTATGCATACGAGACTGATGAGGGTTAAGATGGTGCCATTTCGAGAGCGATCGGCCAGGTATTCCCTGACACACTGCATAGATTATGTTTATAGCACATATTAAACAAATTTCCAGAGAAGATGGGTCCCGTACTTTATAAGGAAATGTACCATAATCTGGTAAACATCATTATGGAGTCTGAGAGTCCTTACGAGTTCGAAAGCCGCTGGTCTGAAGTGATGGAGACCACTCGCCTAGGGGATAATGAGTGGTTGTGCAATATGTATAAAATACGAACCCGTTGGATACCAGCATACGTGAGACACATCTTTTCTGCAGCGATGTCTAGCAGTCAACCATCAGAAAGCAACCATGCATTCTTCAAAAGGTACGTGGACAAGAAAAATATGTTGATGGATTTTATCACAAGATTTTCCAATTCCCTGGCACACCAACGATATGGAGAATTGGCTGCAAATCACACTGACTTGAACGAGCAGCCTTAGATGACAACGTCATTGGCAATGGAAATCCAGATGGCCAGCATCTATACAAAAGACAATTTTCCTACGCTTTCAGACAGAGCTTGCATAGAGTACTTAATATCTTTGTTCGAAGACATCAACATATGAGGGTCTCAAAACATATTCCGTCATGCGTTTTGAGAATGGAAAAACGTATGATCGACAACATGAGGTTCTCCACTACACGATGACTAATATTATAACATGCAGTTGTCGGACATTTGAGTTCGAAGGATATCTGTGTCATCACATGCTTTCATTAATGATCAAGAAACAGGTTATGTTGTTACCGGACCACTATATTGTACGTCGATGGACCCAGACTGGAAACGAAATTCCCCTTTTTGAACCAATTGTCGATCCATCTACTGGTCATTCTTTAATTTCACGACACGGGATGCTGTCGCGCACTGCATCAGAGTTGGTCAACAAGGGAGCCTTGACCGATGCTCAAACCACATTTCTAATGGATGGGTTTTGTGACTTGAAATTACATGTAAAGGATGTCGACGACGACGGTGATATGCAAATGAGTAGAATGAAGAACAAGAGTAAAGAAAGTACCCAACATATGTTTGATCCTACTCCGGTTAGGACGAAATGGTGCGGAAGGCGATTGAAGTCGTCGAAGGAGTTAGCCATGTTCCAATCTCGAAGAAATTGTCGTGGATGTGGCCGCAGTAGACATGATAGAAGAACTTGTCCAGCTTTACAACCGAGGTGAGTTGATAGACGATATCATGTTTAAGCTTTCATTTTTTTCCCAATAATATGTTTAATCTATTTTTTATCCATGTCATCAGGACGCAACTTGTGGACGAGCCATATGAACCACAATACTCGTGAAATGATAATGAAGATAATATGTACACCAGCATTGCTAGCAATGACTATGGGGAGTTCCCAGGGTTTGACGACGATGACTATCATTAAGTCACATTTTTATTGTATTCATTTCAATTGTATGTTTATGTTAAGTCAATTTGATTTTGTATTTATCTTCTTGTTCAAACAACTTTTATTAATTTTATAAGTATGAAGATCGCAATAATCATCAATTAATGTATAGATAAAAAATAAAAAAAATTAAAATAATAAATTATTGCAAAAAAAAGTGGAACAAAAAATGTCAAAAAAAAACAAGAAAAAAAAACTTAAGGGCTGTCTGCGTTGACAGTCCTGAAAAAAAAAAAAGAAAAAAGAAATAAATAAAAAAAGTTGGCTTTGTGTGTCAGCCAAAGCAAAATTATTGCTTTTTGGTCTCCTGCAAGATTGATGTATTAATTTTGCTGGCTAGATGGAGTTTGGAATTAACAAGATGGGTGTAAGAGGGTCGTTGCTATTAACTCTTTCATTTGACCGATAATTTAGATGGAATACCAAACTCTTCACATCTAAATATAAAGGCATCATATCTATGTGAATAGCTAGATTGAAACTACCGAGAATAGCAAACATGTCAATTATAAATATGGTTTCACATTTTGTGGTGGTTGTTCCATCTGGCAATAGCTATCTCTACGATGCAATATTCATTTCAGTTCTTTTCACTAAATAAGATTCAATACTTACTTGGCTGATACACATGCATAAGGTGTATATGGATTGACTTCCTCTATTCTATTGCTTTTCGCTCTTTTTATCTAAATGGTGACGAGGCTGTCAAAAACTGTTGCTTTGGAGAGCTTGTTACTAGTATAGGACCTTAGGTTGGACACATGATAATTTAAGCATACGATACATCGTACATATATAATGATGTGTTCTCAAAAGAATGCAACTTCATTTCATGCTAGATACAGTTTCACTGTAATGTACTTTTATTTTTTGCTTACACGAAGTTGGTGTGGAGAGTTGCTCTATTCTTGCTTTCTCTTAATGCTTTTTTATTATTGCTTTATTTCAGTTTTCTTCATTAGGTTCTTTGGACAAGACCCCTCTACAGCTCCTCGCCGTCGCCCTAGCACTCGGTGGATTCCGACAGCTCTACTCCAGCCACCTCCTTCCTCTTCTCCGCTGTCTGTTTTCGCTTGGCCTTGTCTTCCTCCGACTCCGGAGGCGGCTCCTACACTGTCGAAGGCTCGATGATCCAGAAAATGGGTTTCAATAAGTGAGGAAAATAATCGTATTGCATAATTAATTAATTAATTAATTTCCTAATATTTCTTTGTACTGAATTTAATTTCACTATGAAATTTATCCCCAAATGTTCAGTTTCAATTATTGTGATTTGTGATGTAATATTTGAGATTGATATGTGTCAAATCTATATTATCAATCATTTTCTTTGTTAGCTGGCGTAAATAGAATGAAGGTATCATACATGGTGCACAATAGACAACTGTTGATCTGGTGATTATTTAGTGAATCTTTACTGTCTGACAAGATATTGAATTGAATTTTGGTGAGTTGAAATTTAGAGCCTGTTTGGTAGGGATTTTTGGGGGAAGAATTGATTTTGAATAGTGATATGATGGGAAATGTGTGGTTGAAAAAGAAGAAAAAAGTATTGATGTGATGGAAAATATTATTTTATTGAAGAATGTGTGATTGAAAATGAGAATTAATTTGAGAATCAGAAACAAACAGGGCCTTATGTTCTCGTAATTTTTTGTTTTTTTATTTTCTTGTTCACTCTTATGTGATTCTTAAAATGGTATAACCTTTTATTGTGAGATAAAGCACATATTGTAGATGAGGTTCAGATGTGAGAATAAGATTTTTTTTGAATGGTTTTGACGGGTTTTTGAAAAGCAAACTGTGAAAAAGAACGGAATTCATTTGAAATGCCAATTCTACAGATTATGTGACTATCTGAAGGTGGTCTTACAATTAATGTATTTACAATTTCTTTTATTTTTTCCCCAATTGAGTTCCTTAATATTCCTTATATGTTTCCCTGCCGTTTTTAAAATGCTACTTTTCACACACACACACACACATTAAAGTCGANTGTTAAATGAGTGCATGACTACAATGAAAGGATACAACTGTGTGGCAAGGCTTTCAATCCCTTTCATTTCTTCATTATCTTTATCATAACCAATATATATATATATATATATATACAGAAATGATCTAATGAGCAGCGGTGCTCATCTTATCCTAAACACCAGTGAGTTGGCACATTAATTCATTGGTGGATTGGAACTCACAAAATCTTTATCCACCAATGAATTAATGTGCCAACTCACTGGTGCTTAGGATAAGATGAGCACCGGTGCTCATTAGATCATTTCTGTATATATATATATATATATTGGTTATGATAAAGATAATGAAGAAATGAAAGGGATTGAAAGCCTTGCCACACAGTTGTATCCTTTCATTGTAGTCATGCACTCATTTAACAATTGAGCGATTCCACTTGTACATCAAAAGATGCACATAAGGGACTACACCCTCTCACATGAGGGGTGAGACTCACTGTAGCTCAAATCCTTATAAATTGGTCTATGTTTTCACCTTTATTCAATATAACCTAAATTCTTAACATGGTATCAGAGTTCATTACGTTCCAACGAGCAATTCGATCCGATTAAAATTAAAAATAAAACGAGCACGCGAATTTCAAGATTTGTCTGCTCAAAATGAGCCACTATCTTGCTAAAGTATGTTAAGGGATAAAAATCTCACATCGAATAAAGATGAAAATATAGAACAACTTATAAAGGATTATATTACTCCTCTTAATAAAATTGACATTTTAAGATGAAACCTCAAATTTTAATATGGTATCAGAGCCCGTTAAGTTCCAACGAGCGATTCGATTCGATTAAGACTCAAAAAAATTGAGCACACGGATTTCAAGATTGGTTTGCTCGAACGAGCCACCATCTTGCGAGGGCATATTAAGGAATAGAATCTCACATCAAATAAAGATAAAAACATAGACCAATTTATAAGGATTTGGGCTAATCCTCTTAATAATGTCGACATTTTAAGATGAAACCTAAATAACATTTTTTTAATAATCAAAGTTGAAAATAAGAATTATTTTCCACAAACATGTTCATAGACCCAAAGTTGAGTAACTTTATTTCTTTTAAAGATTAGCAAAAAATGTTTATTATTATTATTTCATAAGGTGTAACACCAAAAGCAGTATATGAAACAATACAGCATAATATACCTTAATCCCGTCCTACTCCTGTACAATGTACCACACATATCATATTCATTTCTTTTGTCGATTAAGATTGAATTTATAAGAGATCGGCTGGATTTAAGAAAAAAGATTTGACTCTTTAGTTTTGTTAACAGGGCAAAAAAAGGAGATAGTGTGTTGGATTTATGTTGTGGAAGTGGGGATTTGGCTTTTCTCTTGTCTGAGAAAGTTGGACCCAACGGCCAGGTTTCTATTTTTTTTTTTTTTCAGTTATTTTTGGTCCTTACGGTGACATTTCCACAGGTGACAGCTCTTGATTTCTCGAACGAGCTATTACAGATTGCTGCATATCGCCAGCGAAGGCGATCAAAGCTCTGCTGCAAGAATACTAAGTGAGTTGCTATTTTTGAGTTGCAGTTTATTTCGTAATTGGCTAACATGCTTCATGCACGAGTACATGACTGAATTTCCATTGAAAAAATATCCCATTAGGCAGTCAGCATGTACTATTGGCATAATCTGATATTTATTTTAGGTGTGTTGAAGGAAATGCAGTTGAATTACCGTTCTTTGAGTCCTATTTTGACGCTATCACAATTGGCTATGGGTTAACAAATGTCGTAGATGGGTCTAAAGCAATGGAGGAGATGTGCCGAGTTCTAAAGAAAGGTTCAAAAGTATCTGTTCTCTATTTTAACAAAAGCACTCAGCCGTTAATCACTTTAATTCAGGTATTGTTCGTTACAAGTAATTCCCTCGTTCGACTTTCCAGTTCATGCTGCTATATGTACTGTTGGAAATGGGTCAAGATTGACCAATAATTCGGGTGGGACCCGGTATCCGTTTTGTGCGGATTAATGGTCATCTACTCTGCGAGTAGATATTCGTGATATATTTAATTTCACAAAACCATTTCCGGATGAATGAGAAATTAATTCTAGAAGTTGGCAATTTGAAAGTAAAAATCTTGGAATTTAAAATCAAGTGTGGGAAATTTATCCCACATAGGAAGTTGAAAGAATTTTGAACTAATTCATATACCTCAAGTTTGGATATGGGTTTGGGCCCCAAGGGGTGGTATCAATAGTATTTGAAAGGGGGAAGTCTTAGACAATGTCTAAACTAGTCCAAAGCCCCCGCGCGCGCCGCTGCCGTCCGACCGGCTCGGCACGAGCTCGGGTCGTGGTTGGTTCCTATATTCTTTTTGGACAAAATAAATTAAAATTATTTATTTAATTTATTTTTATTTATTTCCGAATTTCGAAATTAATTAATTGAAAAGATGTTTCTTTTCAAACATATTTGAAACTGTTCGGAATAAACTGACACAAACTAATAGTTGTGTCTATTCAGGAATAACCTTTCAAGGAGTTGCAACTCTTGGCCTACAACTTTTGGAAATCTATAAATTGGACTCCTGATTTCCGAATTTCGTTCATTCAATATCATTATTCTCTTCTCTTACATTCTGCATAAACAAATATATTTTCCATTAAGTTCAGAGAATACGAAACTTTTTCTGGTTTGCTGTTCTTGCCGTTAGAGTGCTTCTACACCGCAAGTGAAAGATTGTTATATCTTGGGAGGCGATTGGCATCGACTGTAAGCACCATAGCAGGCCAAAATCGTCTTAAGGGAATATAGTCGAACTCTAGCTTTAATATACTCTTTTTGGACAAAATAAATTAAAATTATTTATTTAATTTATCTTTATTTATTTTCGAATTTCGAAATTAATTAATTGAAAAGGTTTGTCTTTTCAAACATATTCGAAACTGTTCGGACTAAACTGACACAAACTAATAGTTGTGTCTATTCAGGAATAACATTTCAAGGAGTTGCAGTTCTTGGCCTGCAGCTTTTGGAAATTTATAAATTGGACCCCTGATTTCCGAATTTCATTCATTCAATATCATTATTCTCTTCTCTTACATTCTGCATAAAATTTTCCATTAAGTTCAGAGAGTACGAAACTTTTTCTGGTTCGCTGTTCTTGTCGTTAGAGTGCTTCTACACCGCAAGTGAAAGATTGTTGTATCTTGGGAGGCAATTAGCGTCGACTGTAAGCACCGTAGCAGGCCAAAATCGTCTTAAGGAAATAGAGTCAAACTCTAGCCTCAATATACTATTTTCCGCAGTTTCGTTGAGGGATTATTCGGTTTGCCATTTCCTTTTCTTAGTTTCTGATTTGTTGCATATCTCACGTGCTAAATCATAGTTATAACATGTACTCCATGAGTGCACGCATATTTAACTCTTAACTCGAACTCGCAATTTGATTTTTATTTACTGATACAAAATTTCTGTGATGTATCATTTAACTCGTGTTTTCCAGGACTTGATGGTTGATTATGTAATAGTTCATGTTGCTAGTGGGCATGGCCTGGGAAGTGAGTACGGATACTTGAAGAACTCGATCAAGGAATATTTGACAGGTTTGTTCTCTTTTCTTTAGATCCATACATATGAATCTTAATGGAAATAAGTCGAACATAATTTTGGATTTTTATAATATGTTTCTTGCATCGACCGGTTATAGAAATTATAAGAAGTTTTAGGAAAGGTCATAAGCTACCTTCGAGGGGATAACCTTCATTTGGATGATATTTGTATCATATTTTCTTATAAATAACTGCATATGTAATAAGTAATTACAAAAAAGAGAAATATACTATCGCGTTCTTATAACATGTTATAATGCAGGAGATGAGTTGGAGAAGCTCGCTTTAGAAGTCGGCTTTTCTTCTGCCAAACATTTTGAGGTTGGTGAAGGAATCATGGGAAATTTAGTAGCCACACGCTAAGACAGTTGTTTCTCCAATCTGCTTCCCTTAAGGCACGTTGATTTTCATACCGTGGCTTTGTGCAATTTCAAAAGGTAACTAGAAGCATCTCTTTTATATAGTCTTGGATTCATAAATTACAATTATCCCGTACGAAATTCAAGGTGTTGATGTTGAATACATTTTGTTTAGAATATGACAAAGATTAGAAGGAGCTTATTGCCATTTTTGTTTTAAATTTCCACGGGATCCTCTTCTCAATGTTTATTGGTCTCTCCACGTCATTGCCCGGAGTTTGATTCCCACACATTAACTCAACTGTCTCCAATAATGCATCTAATAATAGCAGATTAACCAGAATCATAATGATAACAGATGAATTAGTCTTGACATAAATCAAGATAGTGACAGAATGCTAAAAGACAATCCGAACATGATGTGATTTGTAAGTGAATCGGAAAAGCCGAGAAATCAAACCTTAACAAGGGAAGTTAATGTTCTATTTGCTCGACTTAGTCATTTGGTCTGTGGAGACAAAACATGTTTCCTAATAGTCTAAGATGAATTTTCTTTCAATAAATAATGTGGAATCTTTTACGGAAAATGGAATAAGGGACTGATGGTGCAACAAAATTGAAAACGCTTATTTTGGTATGTTGGGGACTCAAGTGCTCCCCGTATTAAAGGTTGTGTCTAATATATTATAGGAGTCGATTTATATGTTTCCTTTATGATAGTGTTAGAATTGGGGTTTGACCCGAATTCCTTCTTGAAATAATTGAAAAATTTTAATTGAAATGCACGTCAAGAGCAATTTAGTTTGGAATGCTATTGGAATCTTATTCAAGTTGAAATTTTATTTAGAAGCCCTATTGAGAATTGAAATTTGTATTGGATTTAAAGAGATTGGAATTATGGACCTGGAAGAAAAGTCGTCACATTTTCGCTAGCCGACTGCTAGCTGTAGGGATGTCAATCGAGTCGAGCGGCTTGTTGGCTCGGCTCGTATTATTCATGCCCACGAGTCGCTCGTGCTCGTCAAAAAACGAGCCCGAGCATGAGCCAAGCGGGCTGGCTCGCTAGACGAGCCGAGTCGGCTAGGCTCGTACTATTCATGAGCTGCTCGGCGAGCGACTCGCCGAGCAGCTGGTGGGGCGAGCCCACGAGCCAGGCT